ATATATATATATATATTATGTGGTACCATTGTGGTATGGTATAACAGGTATGTGGTCCTAATATGGACATTAACAAGTTTTATGAACACGTTTTTATATCCGAGCAAGTCTGTCATTTCAGCTGTTACTTTAACTGTCTGCTCTGATACTATATATAAAGTCTAATATGAAGGTGTGGAGAAACAGGTGAAACTGAAACTGCCACCATCATGAACTAATACGTCACCGTCCAAGACCACAGCAACATATTAACAAGAAAAAGCTAACCTTTTCTTTCCACAGTGGAGCTCATATGACTCTGAGGTAATGTGAATTAGGAATAAAGAATGACGCACATCCCTAAATAGAAAGCCTGCTCAAGCAGCTGATAATTACAGTGTGGAACTGTTGTCAATTGCATTGATTGGTTGTTTGGATGCACTCCATTGTGTTTTAGAAGATGCACTATCTTTAACTTATGTGAGTTATTACCTCTTTACATCCTATTTTCAGAAGACCAAGGACACACCCCTTTTCATTTATTATTCATTGATTCCTTCTACAGTATATACCTCCTAATAGCTCTAAAATGCAGTCATTGAGATACACTTAGATTCATTTTAACTGCAGGCTGAATACTGTACATGCTTGTAGTTGCTTGGAATCCGGAAACATTCAAAGCTACAAAAAATGGCAGCACAGAGGGCACTCACCCAAGCAGAAATTAATAGTCATGTATGGTTAAGTTTACTTCCTGTTAATGAAACCTCAACATCTTATGACACTTGAAACTACAGAGAGTGTATAAAACACTTCCTGGGGAAGTTTTACTACACCCTTTAGCTTCTGAGGGTGGCATCAATGTATGTCATGGCCTGGCAAAGCCATCCCACAATTGTTGTTTGTTCTTGAACAGCCATAGCTGCATTAGCTTGAGACAGATGTTTTTTCAAGCGTTCTGCACAGTAGACGATTGACGGATGTCTCCTTCACCTAGAGAGCAATACGAACCCTTCCTACACCAACTTGAACTTGTGAAACATGGTAGCTGTTCTAAAACTATCAACCAAAATCAGTCTTAAATTTGAGGCGAGAATAAGACCAAGAAAATGTTTGCTCCATTTTCTACTTACAACATCTACATCCAATAGTTGTGGATGGTATTTGGTAGGTAGAAATGCAGCAAGTCAACTGTATACAGTATATACTATATACTATATATTTGTATACTGCTTTTGCAGTTTTACTTACTTCACCCTTTTACACCAACAAGACTGATTAAACTTTCCAAGGAAATTAATTGCTATGTTTTTGCTTTCTGTGGTGTTCCTGGAGCCGTTCTACCACCATCCACAATTAGTTTTAATTTCCTACCAGCTGTAAGTAGCTCTTTTATTTCCTTTGTGAGACAACAGTGTCAATCAACATAGGACAGCAACTAATGGTCATTTTCATTATCAATTAATCTGCCGATTATCTGACCAACAGACCAAAACCCAAAGATATTCAATCATGATATTCATCATGTATGACCTAAAATGTTTAAGAAGCTCGAACTAGCAAATGTTTTTTTTTCCCTTCTATTTGTAACTTTTTAGAGTGTAAACACAATACTAGGGATGGGAACACTATATTCTTGCGTATTAGCATGAAACCCACTAATAAGATAAGTTTATCATGGTGAATTTCCATTATTGGGATAATCAGAAATATTTCCTCATATTACTTGACATACAGACATGACCACACACTGGGTCAGGAGTAATGATTCAGAGGGATTTTTTTTTTTTTTTAGGAAAATCCTACTCAGTGTGCCTTTAAGTTTCAGCCTCTTGCATGGATTCCAAATCTTAATGTTCGTACACATTGAATCTAGCACAAAAACAAGATCTGGAGCCTTTAGTACAGCCTCAGACTGTAACGAAATCCACTACAGCTAAGAGCTAAGAGTTTTAGTTGCTCTAGAGAACTTGGTAAGAGGGAGTTGAAATTCTTGAGATGGTAATCATCAAATACAATGGCCTACATAGTTCACCCAGGGGTATTTCATGGAGAAGAGAACAAACACTATGAGATGTCTGCTACATCCACCACCGTGGAGATGTGTGTTACCGTGTGGCAGTGTGATGCTGGCCCCATCGAGGATGGCCTGAGCCAGCAGGTGGTCATTGCTCTCGAAGGCGCTGGCCGCAGCCCGCAGCGCATCCCAGATCTCCTTCCGGCCCTCGAAAGCTGGCGCCGTATCCCAGAACTCATCTCTCTTGCTGCGCAGCTGGCCCTCAGTCATCGGGTAGTCACTTTTCCATTTAGGCCGCTCTCTCTTCAGGGGCTGGTTACGCCCTAGAGCCACTGGGAGGGAGGACGAGAGAGAGGAAAGGAGAGATGGAGAGAAAAGAAACATAGAGGAAGACAGGAGGGTGGGAGGGGGGGATGAAGGAGAGGAAGTGTGACGAAAAGATGGAAAGAGAAAATGTGAGGGTGGGTTAAATGGATGGATGCAAGGAGAGACAGAAAAATGGGGATAGATAAAGGAACCAACAGAGAGGAGAAAAGATAACGAAACAGAAACAAATGGAGATGTAGAGAAGAGAAAGTAGGCATGAATGGAGTGGAAGATGACAGTCAGAGAGAGAGAGAGAGAGAGAAGGTGGGGGAGTCCATCGTGGATAAAAATGAGAAGTAAGGGAGAAAGAGGGAATAAGAAGAGTTAGGCTTAATCAGAAACAAAGCATCAGCCATTTAAGATCACTAAAGTGCAAAACTAAGCAAGGATGACAGATTAAACAGCCTACACCATCCTGTTATGTATCCATAGAGCGCACACACACACACACCCACACCACACAAACCACCAAAAAAACAAAAACAACCAAAAACACCACACCACAACAGCACACACACACACACACCGACACACCAAGCCCCAACCCACACCACCCACCTACACACAGACTGAGCAGAATTGATGCTAGAAGTGTTATGTTACTAAACGCAGTTAAAAGATTATGGTTATAGCATCTTGCAGTGCTCCATCTGCAGCAGAATGGCTGATGAATAACACCATCTGGATCAACACCGAAGGGGACGACAGGTACAGGACAGTTGTACGTGATGTGTGTGTGTTTTTGTGTGCGCAACACAGGAACAGAGGAAAGGAGAGGAGAGAGGAGGATGACAGATCAGGGTGTTGAGTTGCACCTGCTGCTGGTACACATGTACTCAGACTGTTATCAGACTGTGCCATGTGATCACCAACCTTCAGCTGACTGTTTGTAGTAAATAAAACATCTGACTGATAGACTGGTTACACTTACTTTGACTTTTATTTTTATGTGGTTGTTTATAGTCTCTCTTAAAAACGCCCACCAGATTATGGTACTTAATCAAGGGACGGAGGGGAAAGTAGGTCCTTGGTTGAGTGGTGCTTCTGGGGAAATTCAGATGTGTGCAGCAGTAACTTCAAACCAGAGAATAGAGATAGTATTATGAAAGTATGAATGGGGCATTTTCTGCTTAAATTACCTGCCTGAATCCTCATGTGTAGTTTACTTGTAATATGGTCAACTTGACTGCGTGTTCATAATTCTGACCATTAGGCGCCACTTTCCGGCTCATCTGTCGGCCAATAATTTCCTTATTTATGTTTACACACTTGCCCGCCTTTCAGTAATTCCCAGAAATCCATAGGGATGCATGTAGGCCAGTATGTGTAAAGGACAGTTCTATATTAAAATATCCATATGTTTGAACTATGTAACAGCGAAATGTACACGTGTTCTGGTCTAATTGCTTTGTCATCATCGAGCAAGGTGTCAAGTAACAGCTGCTTGTTTGCATC